TGGTTCTAATCCCAGCTGCCCCACTTCCTTTCCAGCTCCCTGTTTGTGGCCTGGGAAAGCAGTCGTGGAAGGCCCAAAGCCTTGGGCACCTGCACCTGCATGGGAGACCTGGAAGAAGTTTCTGGATCCTGGCTTTGGATTGGTGCAACACCGTTATTGTGGTCACTTGGGAAGTGAATCATTGGATAGAAGATCTTCCTTTCTGTCTCTCCTCCTCTGTATAGCTGACTTTGCGATAAAATAAAAATAAATCTTTCAAAAAAATAGAAAAGAACTTATAAATTAAGAATGTAAAGAAGATATTTTGTACAGATGTACAGTGTGTTTGGAATTGCTACTACAAAACAGACAAAATGTTACAGGAATTAGAGGTTATAAAGCAAAACAGTTACACCTAGCTAAGGTTCATCAATTGGAAAAAATGACATGAACGATGCTACCCTCACACCAGAAGCGGTAGGATTTTATTTATTAATATTTGTGTAGCAGAGAGAAGGAAAGCAGAAAAATTCTTCCATGTGCTGGTTCACTTCCCAAGAGGCCACAATGGCAGAAGCCAAGCTGATCAGGAGCAAGAAGCAGGGACCCAAGGCTTTGGGCCATCCTCTGCTGCTTTCCTGGCGCTGTGGATTAGCCTGTTGGGCCACCTTGGCGGTCCCTGTGTATATACATGTAAGTTTAGTATAAGTTAAAGCTCAGTATTTTAGTCAGGGCCTAGGCCTTCACATTTACTGGTCATTCACGCACTCCGTGCGTTTCCATTCCTGTGAGCTCCAGTCATGAAAGTTGGCTATGCAGGTGTGCCTTTAAATAATAAATATATACTTGACTGTGTGTTACTGCCTGCCGTAGTCGGTGTGCTGTGTTGCAGCCTGCAATGGTCAAGGTACTGTATTGTAGCAGTAGCTATAACTTAAAACCTAGCTGCAGTTGCCTGTTCTGTCTAGGTGTCTCAGCATTTTCAAGTATGGTCCTTGATAAGGGGAGGTAGCCAACGCCCATGTCATTGCTGCTCCCTAACCTGCTGTGCCACACGCTGGCCTTTCTCTTCCCTATACAATATGGGATTGTTCTCTGCTTTAAGGATTTTGTCATTTTTCAGTGTTTTTAGTATAATATGTACAGACTTGAGATTTTTCCCCCCTTATTAATCTTACCTGAGGTCCAATGAATTTCTTAAAATTTAAGCTTGGTGCTCACTAATTTGGGGCAAGATTTCCAGCCCTTGTTTAAATATTTTTCCCACTGCAGTGATCTCTTCTGGAACTCTGGCTGCATGTCTTTGGTTGCTGGCTTATAGACACTAATGCTCAGTTTGGCTTCACTGACCAGTTGTTTGCCGCAGTCTGTTACATACATCTTACAAAAATTTTTTGGGAGGGGATTTTCCAGTTTTAGAATTTTCAGTTATTTTTGTTTATCAGGTGTATTTTTCCTTTTGCTCACTCATTGGAAGCAGACTTTGCTTATTTTTGAGCACAGTCATGGTATTAGCTCTAAGATTCTTGTCAGTGGGGCAGCCACCATGGTGCAGTAGGCTAAGCTTCCCTCTGTGGTGTTAACATCCTGTATGGGTGCTGGTTCCTTTCCTGGCTGCTCCACAGCGATCTAGATCCATGCTGATGGCCTGGGAAAGCAGCTGAGGATGGGCCCCTGCACCCACGGGGGAGACCTGGAAGAAGCCCCTGGCTCCCGCTTTTGGATCAGCTCAGCTCAGCTCTGGCTGTTGTGACTATTTCAGGAGTAAACCTGTGGATGGAAGAGCTCTAGCTCTGTAACTCTGCCTTTCAAATAAAATCAAATCTTTAAAATGATTTAAAAAATGTAAAAAGGTTCTTGTATTCTAATCTTGCTCATTTGGGGTTGATCAATAAGTGTTTCTTTTAGTTTATGTTGCATCTTCCTGTAAAAAAATTAGTCATTCAACTTTATGACTATAACTTAAAAATATTAATTTTATTTTGCTTTGGAGAGACTTGGAGTCTTAATTTGTGACTTCGGTGGTGGTCATCAATAGGAATTTGTGTTGAATTCTTTCTGCTTAATTGGGGTACTTAGAGTCAGTCTCAAACGTGTATATTTCAGAGGTTATCTGAAAGCAGAAGTGTAATTTATACACAGCATTCAGTTGTGTCCTTTCACCTCGTAGTTTCTCCTGGCAGTTCAGATGGCCCCAAACACTACCCTTTGGCTCTTCCACTTTGGCAGATTTGGTTTTTGAGGAGTTGGGGAGACTCACCTGTGCACTCAAGTTTGGCGCCAGGCAAAGCAGCCATTAAAAAGGTTAACGGCTCGCTCTAGGCCGGTTTCTGGTGTTTAGTTTTGTACCATTTCTGTTTACTGTATTTGGATGCCTGTCCTACAGAGAAATCAGTTCTTGCCCATATGAGATCATGCTAAGTAGTAGTGATCTGATGTCAAGATGCTTGATGGAGTTTGTTTTTGTTATTCCACAGGTTTGATTTGTGGATGAAATGAATCATGATTTTCAAGCTCTTGCATTAGAATCTCGGGGAATGGGAGAGGTAAGTATTAACCAAATACTAAGCACTTAAATCTCACTTGCGTTATCTGGGAGATTGAAGTTGTTTTTGATCATAAATAATCTTAAAAAACACTGGCTATATCTTCCAAACTGTTTATCTTATTCTGTGATTATGCAGCTTTGTAGTTATGATTTTCAGTTTTTGTTTTTTTTTTTTTGAAAAAAAAAGTATCAGTAAGCCGTTTAAGTGTTATTTGTGTCTTGGTTGATTTATATTAGATATTTGGGTACTTCAAAAAGTTCGTGGAAAACAAAATTAAAAGATAAACTTATTTTGGTGCAAAAAAATTTTGAAATCCATGCATAGTTTCATAATATACATTTTCCATGAACTTTTTGAAGACCCTTTGTATGCATGGATTTCAAAATTTTTTTGCACCAAAAATAAACTTAATTCCATTTTCCATAAACTTTTTGAAGTACTGTTGTAAAGTATTATTTTCTGATGTTCTGTAATTAGCTTTGCTCAGAAGAAAACACTTATTTAATACTTGTTCTGCTTTTCATGGGCATATGCTGTGTTTGCTTCTGCCACACTTGGTTGTTCGCTGGATTCTCCCTCCCCCAAATTTCTCTTGTTCTCAGCTTGTTTAATAAACTAATAATACTCTGCAAGACTACTGCAAATACTGACTTATTGTCCCATTGATATCTGCAGTAGAATTAAATGCTTCTCTGATTTCTAGCTCTGTACCCATCCTTTAATTGTAACTGGTTGCAGTTACCCCTGAAAAGTGTGAGCCTCCAATGCCTAGCAGAGTAGAGAATCCACATTCTTGTTAAATTTTTCATTCCATTAATCTATGATTGTCTATGGGGCACTCAATTTAACCTCACCATTAATTATTTTGAGACATCAAAAATTAATTTTCTGTTTATTGGGCATTTAGGAAACTTTAAGAATACTCTTGTGGTCAAATCTCTGTCATATTTTGTGCCACTAACATAGTATGGACTTTAATGATAGAAGGTAACAATAAGAAGACCTAAGTGATGTCATTTTAAGGCTTGCTCCTGGAGATTGTTTACTTTGGTGGCTGAGAGACCTTCCTGAGACTCACTCCGTCCAGTACTGTGCTTCTCAGATGCAGAGGCCAGTCTCTCCCCTGGGCCACAAGAGGGCACCTTGCAGCTAGCTAACCCTCCCTTTCTTCAGAAGAGCGTTTTCCAAAGAGTTTGTCATTTTCAGAGGACTGATTTAAGGATGAGTGGTGAGTTAAAGTGCTTAAGCTCAAGTATTGCCAAAATAAACTTGTTAGTCTAGTGAATAAGGTAAAATTTTGGGTCCTAAGAATAGCTTCTTACTAAAAAAAAAAAAAAAAAAGAAAGAAAAGAAAGAAATAAAAAGAAAGCTTGTGTCTGCTTAGGCATTATTTATTTTATGGGGAAATGAAGAAGCATGGAAAAGGCTGATCTTTTCCTGCCACTTGTTTTCTGTGTTTAGAAAACAGAATTTCTTAAAGGCAGTTTTTGAGCAGTGTTTCAGCCTTTTAGCTATGACAAACTTGGACTTAGTGATTCTTTGAAGAGTAAGTGGAGGCACAACCCTAAAATAATTATAGTTAGAGTCCCTGTACTTTACTTCCCAACTTTTATTATGTATTGTTTACAAATTGGCTCTTTTCACTCCTTTTCTAAATAATATTTGTTAGCTCTAAAGGTCACTTTGGAGTTACAAGAATGTTGAAATGTCTGAAATGGTAATGAAAGAGTTTAGTTTCGTGGGTGAGAGAAGGGTATGTAGGGTTTTTGGAGAAGAATTGATTTGCATATTAAGAATGTATCAGTATTCAAGGGAAATGGAATTTTAAGATGTTTGTTTATTTTCGTGCAAAAAATTTTTAAACCCATGCCTGATTCATTTCACAGACATGTTTCCATGAACTGTTTGAAGACCACATGTATGCATGGATTTAAGAATTTTTTTTATGCCAAAAGAAACTTTCCTTTTGGTTCCATTTCCCAAAGACATTTTGAAATATTCTTGTATGTTCAGTGGAGTAAGCTTAAATCTGGACTTTATTAATGAGCATGTCAGATACTCTGTAACGTTCACTAAGGTTTAGATTGCCTGCTACCGAAGGTCAGTGCGTCTGATTATCATCCAGTTAAAAAGTATTTTTAAAGCAAACTGTCTTTATTAAGTTTTTTTTTCTTAACACTTTACCAAGTGATACTGTTACATCTAGAAGATAGCTAAGAAGCCTCCGATTTCTGTCTCTGGGTTCTCTCCCACAAGCCTTTCTATCTTTCCTCATCTCACAGGCAGCAGGGAACCTTCTGGGATTTCCTTCTTAGCCTGTCTCTCTCTCACCAGTCTTCTCCTCCTTTCCTGACAGGTGAGGTTTTTTTGTTTTTGTTTTTTTGTTTTTTGTTTCATCCCAGAATTCATTCATTGGAATAAATTAAAAGCAGCCTTGATTTCTGGCTCTTCAGTTTTCTGAAGTTGTTTGTGGGCTTTTTTTGTTTTTTTATTTTTACTTTTTGGTAACGCAGAATCTTAATAGATTTACCCTAGTTTTGAAATAAATTTTTGTTTATTGTATCTTAAGTGTTGTAAATTTCTAATGTACAGAAGCGTTCTGTTTATATATAGGACTGGTTTCGAATGCTCTAGGGTTTTGTATTGCTGTCTGTGATGGCTTTAACGGAGCCATCGTGAGTAGGCCAGCCTCTTCTGTTTGTTCATCTAGAAAGAAAAACAGATTTGTATTCATCTATCCATAAACTTGCCCTTTCTGTTTTTTTCCCTAGTAGCACATTTTTGTCAAAAGACTACTGATTTACAGTATGTCGTGTGGCTAAAAAGGAGCAAAACTAATGCATGGGAGACGGCTTTTCCTCTGCAGTGTCCCAGTCACACCTCGTAGAGGCATGTGTGTCGTCTTCTCCAGGCTGTTGGTGCATATACGCGGGGTCTTCAAAAAGTTCATGGAAAATGTGTATTAGGAAAACACTATGCATGGATTTCAAAAATTTTTTTACACCCAGTTAAACTCGTACTAACTTGTTATAACATGTCTGAACAGGATCTAGTTTGAGACTAAGAAGGATAAGACATCAGTTTGAAAAGAGCCATATCAGAGCAACATGATTTCTACTAAAATTGAAGCAAGAACAAACATCAAGTTTATGGTGAAGCTTGGTTGGAAGAATGGTGAAATTATTGATGCTTTACGAAAAGTTTATGGGGACAGTGCCCCAAAGAAATCAGCAGTTTACAAATGGATAACTCGGTTTAAGAAAGGACGAGACAATGTTGAAGATGAAGCCCGCAGTGGCAGGCCTTCCACATCAATTTGTGAGGAAAAAATTAATCTTGTTCGTGCTCTAATTGAGGAGGACCGAAGATTAACAGCAGAAGCAATAGCTAATACCATTGACATATCAACTGGTTCAGCTTACACAATTTTGACCGAAAAATTAAAGCTGAGCAAACTTTCTGCCCCATGGGTGCCAAAAATGTTGTGCCCAGATCAGCTGCAGGCAAGAGCAGAGCTTTCAAAGAAAGTTTTAAGTAAGTGGAATCAAGATCCTGATGGACTTCTCCGAAGAATTGAAACTGGAAGTCAAACATGGCTTTATCAGCACAATCCTATATATAAAGTACAATCAAAGCAGTGGCTACCAAGAGATGGAATTGGTCCAGTCAAAGCAAAAGTGGACCGATCAAGAATAAAGGTCATGGCAACAGCTTTTTGCAATGCTTAATAATGACATTTTCTTTGTTGACTTTCTGGAGGGCCAAAGAATTATAACATCTGTTTATTAAGAGAGTATTTGGAAATATTTGCCAAATGTTTAGCAGAAGAATGTCTACCACAACAGTGTTCCTGCTCATTTCTCTTATCAAACAAGGCAGAATTTCCCAGGGAAATCATTAGACATTAATCTAATTTGGCTCTTTCTGACTTTGGTTTTGTAATCTGAAAAAAAAAAATCTTTAAATGGGCAGCCATTTCTCTTTTTTGTTTGTTTGTTTTTTCCCCTGGTTATTGTAAAAAGACTGCATTGACATGGTTACATTTTCAGTATCCTCTGTTCTTTGGGGATTGACTGACAGATTCCATTTTTTACAGAAATGTCTTATTCGAGCTTATGTTGAAAAAGAATTGTTTTTTATTTTTTATCTTTCTATTTTTCATGAACATTTTGAAGTCCCTTCGTATAACTGGGTTCCTATTTATTTTTTAAATAACAGAAAAAAGGACCCTGCATGGAATTCTTTTGGGAACCCGGAATTTAAATTAGAGAATTATGTGTTTTGTTCAGAGAGAATTTTCAGGGTTTCAGTGCTCCCTCCTTTCTTTTCTGTTAAAATGATATTTAAGGAAAACATTATAAAGCTAATTTAATACCTACGATCTTAAGTAGTGTGGTAAAGTAGAAATGTATTACATAGGATAAGTAGTCTTGCCTTGACTCAAATCTCTCACCAGTGGAAAGACTTTGAGTAAGACTGATTAATTTGAAATGTAACCTTTTCTGTGGTTCACGTATATTTTAAATTCTAGCTTTGATGGATAACTAAGCTGAAAACCATCTGTTTAAAGTTGTGTTTAAATAGCTGGTCATGGGTTGGTTCACCTAATCCCTATCTTGTAGTTTTATGTAAAACTTTATCCACTGGAGAAAATATTATGATACCATATCAATGTAGTTTTCATTATTTGAGTGGTGTCATAATATTGGAAATTTTCAAAAGTAGTAGGCAGACTAGACTGTGATTGAGAAGAAAATATCTTCATGTAAGGAAGCGTGAAGAGTGGGCTGCAGCTGTGGTGCTGCCACTTAGCAGCGGTGGTGCTGTCCTTGGGCAGCTCAGCTTCGGCTCACTCTCCCTGTGCAGAATGACTCTTGGACACCTGCTCTGGATAAATAGTGGGTCTTATTTCCCCACTAGAGTCAGATTCACTGGGGAAAAGAAAGATAGGGAGCTATAAGCAAAATCTTTGTAATAAGTTAACTTGCGTTAGTGAAGGCACCTAATATTTGTGTGACTGCTGTTGTTTGCTAAGCAGTTTACTTGTTTTTTTCTTGCTTCATTATGACTTACAGTAGAGCTTTGATTTCTTTGTAAGTGAGGAAACTGAAGTTCAGAAGGTTAATTAATGGTCCAAGGCCACATAATAAAGCTTGAACAATAGTCTAAACGGCTTGTAAATATCTTAATTGTTTATAGTATTAACTACCATTAGAACTGATAACATTTAACATGTGTGCTGTTGCTGTTAAGGAATAGTAAAGAAATAGTATGAATTGAAAAATTTTAAACTATTAATATAAAAAATTTTTTACCGTATTAATGAAAACTATTAATTAAAAAATGGATTCTAGGAAATTACGTTGTTTTGGTTCCTACATAGTTTTTTCTTTTAAAGATTTATTTTTATTTTTATTTTATTTTTATTGGAAGTAGAGCTGCCGGGATTAGAACCGGCACCCATATGGGATCCTGGCGCATTCAAGGTGAGGACTTTAGCCGCTAGGCCATGCTACCGGGCCCCACAGTTTTGATTTTAGCATTTTTCTTTTGCCTTTCATGAATTTCTGTGGTAGGTGAAGTGACTTTATCCTCCTGATTGGCCTAGGTTATCCAAATATTCCTGTTGTGATGTAATTATTAGCATCCCTGTTTTCAGAAGTGTGTTAATATGGATAAGTTATATTTATATGAACATAATGAGAACATCAACATTTAATTCCCTCAAGATTTTGAGTCTTGTTTCTATGGTTGGTTTGAGATTTTACAAAGTGGTTTGTTATTAGGAAAATCTGTTTATAAGGTATTGTTTGTATAACTATTGGAACAGAGCTTTGTATTTATTTATTTATTTATTAAGATTTATTTATTCCTATTACAAAGTCAGACATACAGAGAGGGGGAGAGAGAGAGAGGAAGATCTTCCATCCAGTGATTCACTCAAAGTGACTGCAACAGCTGGTACTGCGCCGATCCAATGCTGGGAACCAGGAACCTCCTCGTGCGGGTGCAGGGTCCCAAAGCCTTGGGCCGTCCTCGACTGCATTCCTGGGCCACAAGCAGGGAGCTGGATGGGGAGTGGAGCTGCTGAGATTAGAACCGGCACCCATATGGGATCTTGGTGTGTCCAAGGCGAGGACTTTAGCCACTAGGCCACGCCGCCAGGCCCTGTTTCATTTATTTTGAGGCGGTATGTTGGAGCCTGACTAGGAGATGAGGTAGTCCACCTGTAAACCTTTCTTAAGGGCCTACTTGATCAGAAAGGGTTAGAAAGCTAGAGGAGCAGATGACAATGGATATTGAGTGACCTGGCTCTGACACACAGCTTTTGTGAATGAGGGAACTACTATTAAATGGTGTTGCATAATACAGTTTATAATTATGTCAGGATCCTTCACCTTGCTTTCAGTAAGTGATTTCTTATTTCTATTTCAGTAAGAGTCTCCAGGGGTAAACCTCTACTTTTATTGCTGTTCTGCTCCATGCATCTGATAACTTTTTAAAACTTTTTTGGATGTAGTTGCCCATATTTAGCTGCTTTCTTGGCCACAAACTAATAATTTTTCTAAATGTATTTGTGTCTGTGTCTTAAGTATTTGAAACTGACACACCAGAATTATTAGAATAAAAGTTTTGATTTTAGCTGTTATATTATTTTGCTGTGCATGGTAACCTTACAAGTATTTATAAAATAAGAGATACTCAAAATGCCATGCTTGGCATAACAGGCATACCTGGTAAGTGTCTGACAGGCATTGTCTTTTCCTATAGAACTATGTAAATTGTGTTTTATGCATTTATTTATTAATTATTTATCTGATTGAAAGGCAGTTATAGATCTTCCATCTTATGGTTCACTCCCCAAATAGCCAGAGCCAGGAGCTTCATCTGAGTCTTACTACACAGGTAAAAGGCCAAGTGCTTGTGTTACTCTGCTGCTTTCCCAGACGTGTTATCAGGGAGCTTAGTTGGAAGTGGAGCAGCTGGGACTGGAACCAGTGCCCATATGGAATGCAGATGCTGCAGGCAGCAGCAGCTTTATTTGAGGTTTTGCAGAGCTAACCCTTGTTTTACAGTTTTACTTACTTGCAAGATACTGGTTCATCACAGATGGCTACAACTGCCACGTGTGGGCCAGGCTGCAATCCAGGTCTCCCATGCACTCCCAAACAGTGTCTGTCATCACTGCAGCGGGCACTGATAGGAATGCTTGCCCAGCCACATCAATTGCAAGTTGGTCCAAGATGTAGTTTATTACTTAGGTTTTTAAAGTTATTTTTGAAAGATTTATAGGAAGGAGAGAGAGCAATCTTCCATCCACTGGTTCACTCCCCAAATGCTCTCAATGGCTGGTTTTCCATGTGGATGCAGGGGCCCATGGTCATGAGCCATTTTCTGCTTCCTTCCCATGCCACAAGCAGGGAGCTAAATCAGTAAGTGGAGCAATTGGGACATGAACCAGCCAGCCTATAGGAACCTGGCGCTTGCAGGTGCAGGATTAGCCTATTGACTCACTGAGCCAGCCCCACTGGATCTCAGCCAATTTTTATTTTTATTTTTTTTTTAAAGATTTATAACTTTTATTGGAAAGTCAGATTTATGGAGAAGAGGAGAGACAGAGTAAGATCTTCTGTCAGATGATTCACTCCCCATGTGGCCACAACTGCTGTAGCTGAGCCAATCTGAAGCCAGGAGCCTGGAGTATCTTCTGGGACTCCCATGCGGGTGCAGGGTCCTAAAGCTTTAGGCCGTCCTCTGCTGCATTCCCAGGCCATAAGCAGGGAATCAGATGAAAAGTGGAGAGGGCCTGGACACAAACCAGCAACTATATGGGATACTGGTCATTTCAGCCATTTGTGGAGTCAACCAATGGATAGAAGATTGAAGTATTGCACCGGTCCCTTAAGTTTTATCTTTGTTTATGCTCTGTTATATCTTCCTCATCATCTCCAATTTGATCTTCCAGCACCCATGCAAACACCTCCCCCCCCACATACACACACATGATTTGTTATCTCTTAGACCTCAGTTTATAGTTATATTTTAGTACAGGTTGTATGCTTGTGAACTCTTTGAAAATAAGATCACTCCCTTCACAGAGGCAAAGTCAGTGAATGATTTGACCCCAGTCTGTGTGCTGAGTCTGTGACTAGGATAGAGCAGAGCCTTCAGCTCACCATCTCAGGGGTGTTGGTAGGTCTGTATTTTCCATCATGCATAACTTTCCTGATTGATACATTTAGGAGCTAGTCAGAGTTGTTACACTGACGTTCATTGAATGACTAAGGTAGGAATGAAGAATTATTTTCTTTCTTGACAGATGTATGGCAGTACTTGGAAGCAAAAGGAAAAACATTTCATTATTCCTATGACATTGCTACCTTTTTTTTTTTTGAGCAAGAAATTTAGCAAGTCCTTTGAAGAATTTTAATATCAAGAACAGGAACAAAAATATTTGAAAAAGAATGTAGAAAAGTCAGAAGTGGGCTTTGCTTAGACCTGGAATTTCTGGAACCAGTACTCAAAAACCAGCAAAAGGTTTTTTGTTGTGAATATGACAACTTAGAAAATGGGGTCCTTCTGAAACTTTGTTAGCATTTAAAAATTGATACCTCTTATTGATGTAGTTGCTACCCTACCATATTTTGCAATTAGAATAAAATTTAAATGTAATTTTTTTCTCCCTAAATAGCTTCTACCTACCAAAAAGTTTTGGGAACCTGATGATTCAACAAAAGATGGACAAAAAGGCATATTTCTTGGGGATGATGAATGGAGAGAGACTGCATGGGGAACTTCTCGTAAGTTACTGCTGTATTGTGAAAATTATGAATAGATTTGTATGTTTCCTTAAACCCTGTATATCTCCTGACAATATTGGGAGGAGAATGTGATGTTGGAGGATTTTCGTAAGTCATTATAATGCATTTTGTTAAAGCAGCAGTTAGATGTTGAAAGCAGTTGCTTGATTAGAAATGTTTATCAGAATCAGTGCTATGGCTCAACAGGCTAATCCTCTGCTGCAGCTGGCATCCCGTATGGGTGCTGGTTCATGCCTCTTCCTGCTCCACTTCTAATCCACTCTCTGTTTATGCTCTGGGAAAGCAGCAGAGGATGGTTCAAGATCTTGGATCTCAGCACCTTCCTGGGAGACCCTGGGAGATCCTGGCTTTAGATCATTTAGGGAGTGAACTGACAATTGAAAGGTTCTCTCTTTCTCTCTCTCTCACTCTTTCTCTCTCTCTCCCTCCCTCCCTCTGCCCTTCCCTCTCCCCCTCCCTCTCCTTCTCTAAATCTGCTTTAAAAATAAAATAAATCTTAAAAGTTTATCACAAGATTTTCATATGTATTTCTAAAATTAACTCTGGCTAAAAATTCTGAATTTCCATTAAAATAGGGGATGCATGACATTAGTCCTAGGAATTTTAATCCTAAGTTGTGTTAAATGGCTGTAACTAATGAATTTCTGCTCTCCAGTAGTAGACAGTAGCCATAGCCAGAGGGACGTAAAATGCTGTGGCAGCCCCGAGCTCACCTGTCCAAGGGGAACTAATCTGTGACTGTGTGTGATTCCTGTGCTTTACGAAGAAAAGTTGAGGATAATGACCATAGTAATAGAAAACACATTTCTAGATGATAATTACCAATGAAGTTTATACTGTTGGCTGTTAATTGCCAAGTATTTCTTTAAAATACTTGCGTTCCACTAGTAGTAGTGGAACCATATTGGAGAACAGAAATATAAATAATGTGTAATCTTTACTCTCCAGCAATTTTTTTCTATGTTACAGTGAACCCATATCAGATTAGACTCATAATTTTAAAATAACTGTAATTTGAACAATGATTTGTTTTCCCCACAAATGGCACCTTGTTTGTTAAGGGTACATGTGCTTGTTTGATTGATGTATGTGTTTTAAAAATTCAATGGATAATAACTTGATTTAACAGAATCAGTTTTTAGGATGTTTGCAAGCAAAGTGTCTTTGAGCACAGTGTAGTAATTGTTTTCAAGGCTGAAGGAAGTGAGCATGTCAGGGTAACATATATTGTTGAAGTCAGCTCCTTGTACAGTTCCAGTTAGAACATGAATCTTACTCTTTTATTGGGAAGCATGAGAAAATTAGAAATGAATGGAGTTAGTTATTTACCGAACTTTTAATGAATGCCAGGCATATACAAATATTCGTTGTTCTGTAGGACTTATTCTATGAAAGGTTCTTTTTCCATTACTGCAGGAGAATGGTCATGTACCATACTCCTCCTCAGCTCAGCTGTGTTCTTTAGGTTGATAGTGTTGCATTCCCATGGGACACATGGCCTTTGAACATGCTGGTTTCTGTAACATCCTTTTTATTCATTATAACTCTTTACTCTTGATATTCAGCTTAAACACCACTTCCTTTGGGATTCTAAGACTGTGAAGACCCAGTGTTCTTCATGCATCTTAACAATTTTTAAAGTGTTCTGGATTATTTTAGCTGAAGTACTTTTTTCTTTCTAGATTTATTTGTTGACTTGAAAGGCAGAGCCAGAGAGAGGGAGAGACCTTCATTTGCTGTTTCTGCTCCCAAATGGCAGCAGCTTTGTTACAAGCCAGGCCCAAGCCAGGAACCTGGAATTCCATTCATGTCTCTCACATAAGTGACAGCAGTCCAAACCCTTGGGCCTTCTACTAACCCTTATCCCTGACACCTGGTCCCCCGCCAGGGGACTGGATTAGACAGCTCCCTTTCCCACTGGGGCACTACACTGGCTTCTGTTTAAGTACTTTTCTGAATTGATTTTATGTTTGTTTATTTGTTTTTAAAGAGCTATTTATTTTTTATTGGAAACTCAGAAATACAGAGAGGAGGAGAGACAGAAAGATCTTCCATCTGCTGGTTCATTCCCCAAGTGGCCGTAGCAGATGGAGCTGATCTGATAATGAAGCCAGGAACCAGGAGCTTCTTCCAGGTTTCCTATGCAGGTGCAGGGTCCCAAAGCCTTGGGCCGTTCCTAGCTACCTTCGCGGGCCAGAAGCAGGTTGTTGGAAGGGAACTGGCGCCCATATGGGATCCTGGCATGTGCAAGGCAAGGACTTTAGCCACTAGGCTACTGTGCTGAGCCATATGTTTATTTGAAAGGCAGCGTAGGGGTAGAGGATCCATCAACCATTGGTTGGTTTATACTCCAAATGCCAGCAATAGCTGGGGTGAACCCGGCCAAAGCTTAGAGCCAGAAATTTCATCCTAGGTCATTTTCCACATGACTACTTGGAATCTAGGTGTGTGTTCCATCATCTGCTGCTTCCCTGGAACCACTGGTGGCATGTGCGCATCCCAAGCAGCCGCTTCACCACAACACCTGTCCTGAAACACTCAGATCTCATTAGGATTGTCTCTCATCAAGCTCTGCTTTTCATGAGGGCAGAGACTTGTTGGTTCTTAGATTTCCCCTACATGGTACAATGCCTAGCATTTCTAGGGAGTAAATTGACTTTGAAAGTCTGCATGACTGAATGAAATGAAATGAAATGATGGCTGGTCTGTCAGGGAAATAGGCACTGAAATGGAAATGTTTGAAAGAAAGAATTAGAGGGATAGACAGAAATATTTTCTCTCTTCTGGTCTACCTCCCGATGGCTGTAGTAGCTGAGTCTGGGCTAGGCAAAGCCAGGAGCCCAGAGTTCCATCTGGGCCTCATGTGAATGGCAGGGTCCCATAATACTTGGATCTTCTAACTTCCACTGCTTTCCCAGATGCATAAGCAAGGAGCTAGATTGGAAGTGGAATAGCCAAAACACATGTGAACCAGCATTCACATGTGATATTTGCATCACAGACAGTGGCCCAGCCCACTGTGCCATAGCGCCAGTCCCCAGATTGGATTAGTTTTTAAAGATTTATTTTATTTTTTATTACAAAGTCAGATATACAGAAAGGATGAGAGACAGAGAGGAAGATCTTCTATCCGATGATTCACTCCCCAAGCAGCCTCAATGGCTGGAGCTTCAGCCATTCCTGGCTGAAGCCAGGAATCAGGAGCTCTTCCTGGTCTCCCACATGGACGCAGGGTCCCAAGGTTTTGGGCCATCCTCGACTGCTTTCCCAGGCCACAAGCAGGAAGCTGGATGGGAAGTGGGGCCGCTGCGATTAGAACCGGTGTGCATATGGGATCCCGGAACGGGCAAGGTGAGGACTTTAACCACTATGCAATCACGCTGGGCCCTAGATTGAATTTTTGAATCATTTTAGGAGATACCTCACTTTTTCCACTGAAAATAGAAAGTACTTTGGTATTTCTGTTTTTTTCTAAATTCATTCATCTTTAGCCTTATGGCAATGTTCTGAATTTGTCCTTTGGGCTCAAAAAAATGCAGTGAGTTTAGAAGGAGTTTTGGACCCAGTGTGGTAGCCTAGCAGCTAAAGTCCTCGCCTTGAATGCATCAAGATCCTATATGGGCACCGGTTCTAATTCCGGCAGCTTCACTTTGCATCCAGCTCCCTTCCTGTGGCCTGGGAAAGCCTTGGGACCCTGCACCTGCCTGGGAGACCCAGAAGTTCCTGGCTCCTGACTTCAGATCGGCATAGCACCGGCTGTTGTAGTCACTTGAGGATTGAGTCGTCGGACAGGAGATCTTCCTCTCTGTCTCTCCTCCTCCCTGTATATCTCTGACTTTGCAATAAAAATAAATATTCCAAGAAAAGTTCTTTTTATTCTTATCTCTAAAGTCTATTATGAATCGTTAGAAGCAAAATATACAAATAAATGAAAAAACACCAGAAGCATGTTAACTTTCTAGCGTGGTGCTTGCAGACAGCTGAATCTTGAGGATCAATGTGTACCTATTTACCCTTTTAATTTGACTGTTAAGGCTTTTTCCCCATTTGTTTCTGTGTTTTAATGATTTATGTCTCAGCCAGTGTCAATAATTTGTAGATTTTATGGAGATTAGCAATATTCAAAATAAAATTAAATTATTTTTCTTACATGAGTATTAATTTGTATAGTCACACTGTTTAGCTTAAAAATGTAAGTATGTAATTGTATCATTTCTTTAAACAGACCATTCAATGTCCCAGCCTATTATGGTACAGAGAAGATCTGGACAGGGTTTTCATGGAAACAGTGAAGTAAATGCGATTCTGTCTCCGCGATCCGAAAGTGGAGGCCTTGGTGTGAGCATGGTAGAATATGTATTAAGTTCTTCTCCTGCTGATAAATTGGATTCTCGATTTAGGAAGGGAACTTTCGTAAGTATTTTTTTTTTAATATATTAAATATTTGTTGGTTATTTCATTCCATTTTATTTTTAAGTTGATTAAGTCTTCCCATGTTTTCCTACAGCTAAAAGAAATTTTATAGTTATATACGTTCTTGTTTTCTTTATTTGGCCAATTGAAATACATGAAATCAGAGCCATTGGAAATATGTTGCCAAATAAACCAGACCATATTAACTTTACAGCGTAAATTGCAGAATTAATCTTGGTTATTCCTGCTAGTCCTTGGTCTGGAAGTGACTAAACAGTATTGGTGATATATTACATATATTCCTCTGGTTTGTGCTATTTCTGCTTTTTGCACCACTATAGTTAAGGTTGCCTTAGCCCTTCTGTTATAAATTCATTAGTTTCTACAGAATTATTTTGGCCTTCCATAAATCACTTGGCTAGAAAATTAAATTTATTGAATGCTTTGTTGTTTACATGTACTATAGTGTAGTTTAAATCACCTTTTGATGTCTTTTTTTGTGTGTTTTGTTAAGTTTCCCGAACCAATCAGATTCTTTTTTCTTCAGGGCACTAGAGACGCTGAAGCAGATGGAGCTGAGAAAGGAGTTGAGAAAGGCAAGGCTTCTCCATTCGAGGAGGACCAAAACAGAGATCTTAAACAAGGAGATGAGGAGGATTCGAAAATAAATGGCAGAGGTTTGCCAAATGGAATGGATGCTGATTGCAAAGACTTTAAGTAAGATTTTGACTTTCTCAAGAGGAAAGCATGTAGCTATAGGGATTGTGAATAGTTAGCGTGAGTGGCTTTAGCATTTTTACAGCTTAGACTTATTCCCTTGGTACTTTGTGCTAATCTAATCTTTATATAAGTGAGGTTAGTTAATGATTATGAGCTTTAAAAGTACATGATTTTAGAAACTGTTCTCATTTTTCAATGAACTTTTTGCTTCTAAAATATAATGAATTGTGTGTATGTTTTTTTTTTTTTTTACCTGTCTCCCTTCTGTCTACAGTGACTTTTCCTCTTCTGTCCTTTGTTTGTTTTCTGTTTCTCCTTTTTCTTGAAAATGAGACAAGTTTAGCTAAGAACACTGACCTTTCTTGGCATGTTTGAATTTGTGCTTATGCTGGTTCCTGAAAACGGAGCGTAATGAGCATATTAGAGACAGCCGAGAATTAGCAGTTAAGCATCTTTTTTTACTTGTTGGTTTTATTCATTTGCATATTCAGGACTGGCTTCTTCACACTGATATCCTGTACTTTGCACTACTCTGGGGCCTTTGCCTGGAGATGGTCTGTTTCTTTCAGATATGGTGAATGATGAACTCTTAGTTCACACTAGAGTACGGGCACCTGATTGCTTGTGTATTTTACATTTATATAATTTCAGAAAATAGCATACTTTTAAAATATATATATCTTTTCTGTTTAAGTGCAGAAAAGCATCCCAAACCAGTGAACTTCTCAATAGGAAACTAATGCTATTGAGTTTTAGAACCTTTTCCTGGTTTTACTCTAGCTGTTTACCTAGCTTGTTTTTCAATCAGTTGATTATAAAAAATTATCCATTTATATTTGAAGTGCTAACACAGGTTAACTATAGCCAGAAAATAGCATTACTGATTGCATGTGAGGGTTTTTTTTTTTTCCTAGCATGGCCTCCTCTTTTTGCTACATATAAATTGTAAAAGGTTATACAAATTGATTATTTTAGATGAAGTATCAGTTAACACTTGAAAAAGATATTTCAGAAAAATGACTGTGGCTGTATGGTTACTGTCCCAGCACATCTTTGATAAATGTTTTCACCAGTTTGTTAGAATAGAACTGAAACAAATTATATATTTGTGGGAGGCTTTTTTTTTTTCTTGAAAGCAAAATCTTTTTTACTTTGTTTTCTTCCTGCATTTTCCACATTACAAAAAAAAATCTTTGGAATGGTAATACGTAAATAATTAGTTGTGTAAAAAGGAAATGAATTTGACATCTAACCTTTAAAGTAGGTTCGTGAAACTAGCTGGAGAGTAATCTCTTTAATTAAGGAATTGTGTTGTGAACTACTCTACATGTGAGGGTTTATGCTAATTGGAGCACCTGAAGAAGCAGGTGTTTTTAGATGTAACAACTGAAAAGCTGCCTAAAGTGGTTATTACTATTTACTTAATGCATTTATATTAGTATATTATGAAAGCATGATTCCTCAAAACAATAAACTCCACTTCTTGTAAGGGAAAGAAAGAATCCTAGAGTTTAGATTATAATGGATTATAAAAGGAGAGAAGCTGATGCTTTAAATTCAGTCCTGTGTTTACAAATTTCTTGGGAATGTTACAGATGGTGGTATTTCTTTTGTGTAAAAGATTATTTATTTGAAAGCAGAGTTACAGAGAGAGTGAGTCGGAGTCAGATAGTCCATCTACTCTTCTCTCTTCAAAAGCTGCCATGCTTGGCGGGGCTGGGCTGGATCCAGGATGCTGGTACTGCATCTGGGTACACCAGGCTGGCAAGGATCCAAGAACAACTTCGGTCATTTTATACTTTACTGAGTACATTAGTAAGCTGGATTAGAAGTGGACCAGCCAGGATTCAGACTAGCACTTGTGGCTGCTTAGTCCTGTATGCCATAGCACCAGCCTATCGGAAAAAAAAAAGAAAAATTATGCTTATGCTGTGTATACTTAATGTTTAACAAGCAGTGTTGAACATTTCCTTCTGACTGTTTAAACTGGTGGAGTTTGGTAGGATAAAGATGTCTTTGGAGAACCCTCATAGAAAGCTTTCACAGTTAGTACCTTTTGTGAATGTTCGTTGGAACCCCAGATCATCTTCAGTTTTAATAAGGAACTGGACCTTTAGAGATGGGATTATTTGCTGAATGTCACACTTAAGATCAGCCAGGATCATTCTGTTGTCTTGGTTCAGTGCTTTCCTGCTGCAATCCAGGTTGTATTCCTTTAAGTCACTCGATGCAGTGAATCCTTGTGTCCTGTTTTTCCCCTTAAATATATATTATTGAACAAGCTATTATAGCAGAATGCTAGCCGATGGGCTGTGGTGTGATGAGTGAGTTTGGTTTAGGTTTCAAGTTTTCCCATATCTGCTTGGGGTTGGTGTACTTTTCATGCTTTCTATTTGTTTTGTCTATGACGTGTAAGCTTAAGTTGTAGTACTATTGACAGCTTTCACTTACCTGTCGAAGGGTTTGTGAATATTCACATTGAGCCTCATAGTCATCAGTATATTGAAACACATCAACTTTTAAGAGGAAGTCATATTAGATAGAAAAAGTGGTAAAGTGAATGATTAATGAGCAGGAATTTTTTATTTTCTCTTTTATTTCCACAAAATGAATGTATTACATTATTTATCTTACTTGCCATTTCAATTATTGATATGTTATTTTTACTGATGGTATTTTTTTTAATTGAAAAGCCAGATTTGCAGGGAGGAGTAGAGACAGAAAGATCTTCCATCTGTTGGTTCACTCCCTAAATGGCCACAACAGCTGGAGCTGAGCTTAGCTGCAGCCAGAAACCGGGAGCCTTCTCTGTCTCCCACATGTGTGCAGCATCCAAAGCGTTGGGACATTCTGTACTGCTTTCTCATGCTTTAAGCAGGGAGGTAGATCAGAGTGGAACAGCCAGGACACGAATTGTTGTCTATGTGGGATACCAGCACTTGAAGATGGAGGATTAGCCAGTTGAGCCAAATACTGGCACCTGATTATACTGTTTTCTTTCCGTAGTCGTACTCCTGGAAGTCGTCAAGCCTCTCCAACTGAAGTAGTTGAGCGCCTGGGTCCCAATACTAATCCCCCGGAAGGATTGGGGCCTATCCCTAATCCTACAGCTAATAAACCTCTGGTTGAAGACTTTACAAATCCTGAAGCTCAGAATCTGGATGCCATGGAACCAGTTGGTCTGGATTCTTTACAGTTTGATTATCCTGGTAATCAGGTACCAATGGACTCTTCAGGAGCAACTGTGGGCCTGTTTGACTACAATTCCCAGCAGCAGGTGAGGAATGCTCCTGCAAGAAGCTCTCTTAGCTCTTTACTGGGGCAGCCTGTACTGTTACGGGGCATTGACATGAATGCTGATGCTCTTGAATACTTAGTTTTATTGACTACAATGTCTGTATTTGAAAGTGCTTCAAATAAGTGTTTAAATATTTTGCTCACCACTTTCTAACTGGAACTGAATGTTTTGACAATAATCTGTAATATTGTTTTCCCTAATAGCTCTTTCAGAGGACTAGTGCACTCACCGTTCAGCAGTTAACTGCAGCCCAGCAGCAGCAGTATGCTTTAGCAGCAGCTCAGCAGCCACATATAGGTGAGAATTTGTAAATTACTATTTGGCCTGCCAGAAACATATTTCTTTTATACTTATTGGTGTCTTATTACATTTTGAAGCAGCTCACCGAGATCCGAGGAGCGGATTATATGGAAGGATATTAAGTGTTTATAAGTGTTTATGTAATTTATTAAATAGAAATGTGTAACTTAAGAAAGATACCAATGCCTTACGGTTTTTTCCTCAATAAATTCAAGTATAGGTATTTGTATTCACTGTCATGTCAGAATTTGTATTCACTGTTGTTTCTTCTTTTAAAAAAGAAGAAGAAAAGACATTTATTTGAAAGGCTTAGTTAGAGAAGGAGAGAAAGAGAGGTCTTCTGTTCACTGGTTCATCCCCCAAGTGGTCGCAACTGCTGTGGCTGTACCAGGCCCAGGCCAGGAACCAGACCCATTTCTGGGTCTCCCACATGGATGCATGGCCCAAGCACTTGGTCCATCCCCTGTGGTTTTCCCAGACACAGCAGTAGGGAGCTGGATTGCAAGTGAATAGCCAGGTTTGAAACCTGTACACATATGGAATTCAGATGCTGCGGGAGCAGCTTAACATGCTATGCCATATACTGATTCCAAAATGTTTGTGTTTTAAAAAATATTTCAAAAGGAAAATTCCTAATCTCTACTGTAATTTGACTTACTGTAACTATATATTTCTTGCTGTTAGGTTTCAAGTTTGTTACATGTTTGTATTGGGATATTTGCTTTTCTTATTGCTACCTCTCAGTATTTATTAACAGATAAATCTTGCAGATAGCTGTTTATTTTTATTTCTTTCCCAACTTTGTGATCATAGCCATCCAGTGGTTTTATTTATTTATATATTTTAAAATTTTTTTTAAAGATTTATTTTTATTTATTTATTTTTTTATTGGAAAGGCAGGGAGACAGAGAGGAGAGACAGAGAGGAAGATCTTCCGTCCGATGAGTCACTCCCCAAGTGAGCGCAATGGCCAATGCTATGCCGATCTGAAGCCAGGAGCCTCTTCTGGGTCTCCCACGCGGGTGCAGGGTCCCAAAGCTTTGGGCCGTCCTCTGCTGCTTTCCTGGGCCACAGGCAGGGAGCTGGAAGGGAAGCGGGGCTGCTGGGATAGAACCGGCGCCCGTATGGGATCCCGGGCGTGCAAGGCGAGGACCTTAACCACTGCGCCACCGCGCCGGGCCCTATTTATTTATTTTTAATAATGAATGGATTCACATGCAGTTGCAGTCGACATGCAGAATGATTCTCATACCCTTTACCCTTTTTTCCATAGTGGCTCTATTTTACATAATTATAGAACAATATCAAAACTAGTAAAATGCCAAACTAGTTTATGCAGTTTTATGTCATCACCTGTATAAATCTCTAACTTTTTGTGCAAATCTGATTTTGGCAAGACTTGACTTAGTTTCTGGTTAGAATTTTATAGAAGGAAGTATATAGAACACCAGGTATATTTTCTCTTAGCTTTGTATTGTTCTGTGTCAGTGCTGTAAAACTTCATACATCCCACATTTTACTTTTCTCTTAATCAGAGTATCAGTATTTATGGATGATGGCTAAAAGTGGCATATTTTCTGGATCTGTTTCTTTTCTCTTTCCCCAGTTCTGTTGAATCCTTAACTTAATCCATTGTGTTGTCATTTTAGTTCTTGAGATTTTCTGGTATGTTTTAATATTTGACAGACTGACAAGCCTGTTGCTTTTCTTTTGGAGTCTTATTCCTCTTAGTTTTTTGTATATACTTTGGAAATGGTTTACTTCTTAGGGAAGATTAAAATCTTTATGATGCTAAATATTATCTAGGGCATTAAGTCTAGTTTTAAAGTTTGTGATTTTCTGTTTGAAAGCCAGACACACAGATTCTTCTGTCTGCTGATTGGCTCCCCAAATGGCTGCAGTTGCTGAGCTATAGACTAGCTTGGAGCCAGCAGATTGCACTTCGTCTGACTGGCCCACATGGGTGGGAGTGTCTGCATGACCTGAGACTCAGCTGCTGTGTGTCGGGGTACACATTAGCAGGAGGATGGATCAATGCCGTGTAGCAAGGAGTCTGACCAGACCCTGACAGGAGAAGCAGGCAACTGTAGGAGCATGTTTTCATGTTTTCAGGACTTGTGGTGAAGGTCTACTGTGATGCCTTAATGCCTAGGACTTTCTTTTTATTAAATAAGGACTGCAAACATGTGTTTTAAAATCTTTCAGTCTTTACTTAGTCTATGTGGGTGTGCTAGAGTTAAGCAGTGGGCCAATTTAAAACTTTTGTGTTGCCTTCAAGGTGAGATTCAGCCAATGAGTTCCTGGACCAGGAAGCTCATCATTGATCTTTCTGTATAGCTCCAGTTTTATTAAGTGCCTGTCACATGCTAGTGTAATCCAGTTATTTGATATTCAGTATCACATGATATGATTTCTTAAGTGAAAAACTTTAGTCCAGTATTGTTACTTATTCAAAATCACTTAGTAAAAATTAGAAGCACCAGTCTCTTCCTCCACCTCATCCCACAGATCCTGTATTTATTTATTTAGAGTGAAAATGCTAAATAAATGTTAATAAATAAAGTCATTTATTCTTTGATATCTCTCCCCTTTTTAAACGCAGCTGGAGTTTTCTCAGCAGGCCTTGCTCCAGCTGCATTTGTGCCAAATCCATATATTATCAGTGCTGCTCCTCCAGGAACTGATCCATATACTGCAGCAGGATTGGCTGCTGCAGCCACATTAGCAGGTAACTGGTTGTTCATCCTTGTTTATTATGGATTTAGCTTTAATTTTGGTATAAGCTTTGTATCTATTTGGGCAATTTGAAGTTTCTGGAATAATCCAAAAGATTATCCAGATTGAGCAGTTTTTCAGCTGTGATGCTACAGGAAAGAGCCGAAGGAGGAACTTTCCCACCACTGCATACATGGTTGCCATTTCAGTTCCACAGTATTAGGAGTCTTACACTGTTCATGTATCTCCATTTCAGTGATCAGTCCCAAACCAACCAAGATGTAAGGGTTTTTTTTGCTTTGTTTTGTTTTGATTTGGTTTGTTTTTCAAAATATAAACCAGGTGATGTGAATGTATGGATGCTGCGAAGGGCACCTGCAGTTATGAGGGAGTACGTGCAGAAAGAAGTTGTTGAGCACTGTTAGAATGTATTAGGTGGCAAAAAAGAAGGGCAAAGTTGGAAAGAACTCAGTAAAAACAGTCAATTCATTGAGACTACCACAAAATCTAAAAAGTCAAAATTATATATATATATATATATTTTTTTTTAAAGATTTATTTTTATTGGAAAGGTGGATATACAGAGAGGAGGAGAGACAGAGAGGAAGATCTTCCGTCCGATGATTCACTCCCCAAGTGAGCGCAACGGCTGATGCTATGCCGATCTGAAGCCAGGAGCCTCTTCTGGGTCTCCCACGCGGGTGCAGGGTCCCAAAGCTTTGGGCCGTCCTCGACTGCCTTCCAGGGCCACAGGCAGGGAGCTGGATGGGAGGTGGAGCAGCCAGGATTAGAACCGGCGCCCATATGGGATCCCGGGCGTGCTAGGCGAGGACCTTAACCACTGTGCCATCGTGCCAGGCCCAAAATTATATTTATTTTTAAAAACCGACTTATTTAAGAAAGGAGATTCTTGGATTGGTCAAACATTATCTTACTGAGCAAAGCAATTGGTTGATCCAGGATGGGTTGTTAGGAAGAGCTTGTTTCAGATTGAGTTCGCTGCAGAAACAGAAGTAAGGCTTAATAACAGCATGACGAGAATGGGTTGGAGTCTGCTCATGGGCTAACTTGAGACTCAGTGATTTTTTAATTTTTTTTTCAGGTGTACAATCACTGAAGTGATTGTCACTGATCAGTTACAGGGTTTTAAATTCACTTCTGGCATTTACTATTATTGATAAGCAGTCTTTCTAGAAGTTCAGAATTTGTTAATTTTTTAAATGTCAGGGGAGGCAGTTTCAGATTCTTGTATTTCTTGGCTAGCAGAATGAAACTAACTTGTTGCCCTCAGATGTGGACTTGTTTGTAATCAGTTAACCACATAGTGTTGTTTCTGATATTGCATAACTGGATATTAGTATGCAAGTAAGGTGCTGCTATATTATACATTTAGACAACTATTTAAGCCGTGGAACGGAAATAAGCATTTTTAAGAGGTCATTTAGTTTGTGATAAGCATTCTAGACTAGCTTTTCTAGGACCCCGTAACGTTCTAATAAAAATAAAATATAAGCTGGAAGATGTGATCTAAAGCTTTTTGTGTTGCTATTTTTCAAGATTTGTTTGAGAGATGGAATGTCTCCAAATGACAAGCATTACTGGGGCTAGGACAGGACAAAGCCAGGGTTCCACAACTCCATCCTGGTCTCCCTACATGGGTTTCAGGGACCCATATTGCTGCTTTCTCAGGCCCATTAGCAAGAATGGATCTGATGTGGAACAGTTGGAACCCCACCCAGTTTCATCCAGCACTCTCTCCAGCATGGGATGTTGGTGATAAAATCAGCAGCGTGATCTGCTTAGTTGCCACAGTGTAAAAGCAAAAAACACATGCTGTTAATTCCAGTTTTTTTTAAACTGAGCCCAATATGCATGATACTATCTTTTCAACATGTAATCAGCATTTTTATTGATGATTCATTTATTTGAGAGGAAAAGGAGGTCTTCCTTTTATTGATGCATTCCCCATATGGCCACAGGCTGAAGCCTGGAGCTGGGAATTCCATCCACGTCTCTTGTGTAGGTACCAGGGATTCTGGCACCCAGGTCATTTCTCCACCAGTCTCCCAGGCACATTAGCAAAGGGTTAGGTTGAAAGCAGCAGGGACTCAAGCCAGCATTGTTACAGAAATCTACCGTATCAGTAATCTCCTTTTGGACTGTCCAGCTCTTAATTGTTTAGTAGCCACAAGCGGCCCTAGCTCTGTTGGATAGTAAAGTTCTAAGTAGTGCCTGACTCTTGTTTTGTGTCTGCAGTTTATTCTTCTTAAGCTTTTCCCGATGTTAATAGCACTCACTGCAGGTTATGGCTACTGGCTGTCTTTAGGAAAATATTTTGCCTTTAAATAATTTGGTGTTCTGTTAATTATGCTGGGCTTTATTGTCTTCAAAAGCAAAATGAAGCCAGTTCCACTGATAATTTTAGAACATAGTTGTATCAGAATTTGTGACATTTTTGACCATTACTGTAGTATCAGCACTTACCACGCACAACTATTCTCCAGATTCAGAGCAAGAACAACTCATTCTGTTCTTCCTAGTCTGTTTCCTTTCTTCCATTTTCATCTCTCTCATTATCTGCTTCTTTCCTACTTTGCTCTCATTTTCCTAACCGCAAAAACACTGATGTCTGATTTATTTTCATATAATTTCAGTTGTTATATGAAAATTTAAACTCAAGATTTTCTACTCAAATACTACTATAGCAAGCTTGGTATAGGATGCAAAGTAAAAGACAAAAAAATTTCTGTAACTCACCTCAGTAGTTAGAAAATATTCTTCTTAAAGAGAAGTGATTAACTGGTAAGAAACCTTGGCTTCATTGTGTCTAATGTTCCCTGAAAACATGACCTGTGTTTGTCCTACCTGACCCATGAATTGACATTCCATATATGTTTAATAGTGGTTATGTGTCCTTTCAATCCAGTGGTAGCTTTCTAAGTTCTGATTCACATCTCTCCATTAAGCCCACAACTGTCAAATACTCCATGCTCCAATGGTATTTGCTCTCTAATAACATCAGAAGTGAAAAACCCACAGAAGGTGGGAGAGATAACACAAAGATTAAAGAAATTAAAGCTAACCTTTAGTGAAAACAGGGTAGTTCAGAATGTTTGTGGGAAAATGGAATTATAGGGAAATGTTCTACGTTAATTCTACCCCCACTTAAAGTCATGCTGGCTGATCTCAGATTGTATCTATAAAATCCAGTGACCCTTCTTCCTTATTTTTCTTTTTTGGGGGGACATGGGATATGGATTTAGGTCCAGCAGTGGTTCCACCTCAATATTACGGTGTTCCATGGGGGGTGTATCCAGCCAATTTGTTTCAGCAGCAAGCTGCAGCTGCAGCAAACAACACAGCCAGTCAGCAAGCGGCGTCACAAGCTCAGCCTGGACAGCAACAGGTAGGCCCTTGTTCACTAAATGCTTCCTGAATATTCTCTGTGAGCTTCTGGTGACAACGATCAGCGTCTTGTTTTCACTTTTATTTTGTAAATATATGGCAGAGTACCTACATGTGTGATTGGTTCACAAACATTTCTTATATGGTGGTTTTTAAAATTAGTATTTTGTTTCAGGAATGTAAAGGTCTGATATTTCATATCTTTCTGTCACTTTTAAATTCCTCATTTCTTAAACATATGCTTATAATATTATTTCCAAAATAATACTCCTTTCCTATTTTTTCAGATATTTTAGTGTGAATTTTTTAACCTTCAGTTAAGATTTTGTCATTCTCTCTAACCATAAAAAAAATCCTTTAAAAAATATAATTGTGTTTGTAGATTTATCAACATTAATGTAATTTTTGCTCGGAGACTTTCTGGGGCTTCCATGTTGCTTTATGGATTTAGTTGTTGATGATCGGTGATCATGTTGTAAATGTTAATGTATTTTGTGACTTTCCCCCACCCCCGTGCTGGATCTACCTTGTATCACATGTAAATAAGTTCCAAAATTCCTGACAGACTACTTGTACTATATCTGCAGTTGTCCTAAACAAAATTTGTTTGTTTATCGCTTTGAAGAAGCTCATTTGTCCTTTCAGGTTCTCCGTGCTGGAGCAGGTCAGCGTCCTCTTACTCCCAGTCAGGGTCAACAAGGGCAGCAAGCTGAATCGCTTGCTGCAGCTGCAGCAGCAAATCCAACTCTGGCCTTTGGTCAGGGTCTTGCTACAGGCATGCCAGGTATGTGTTTAGACTCCCATGTTGAAAGATGTAACAATTGAGCAGTAGCTGTAAGATTTTGCCTATCTAGTAGTAAATTATTTAGAACTCAGATGCTAATGGCAGATAATGAAACTGCTTTTGAAACTTCGTGATAGTAATGACACATATGTGTCAGGGTTTTCTATAGAGCCTTTTTTTCATATTGTTATGGCATAAACTATAACATATATCCCAGCTGAATCCAGTCCAGATTTCTCAATGTTTCAGGAAGTAAACATTGGCTACAGTTCATAGATAACTTATTTGCTGGTTTTCTCTTTTTAAAAAGATTTATTTATTTTTATTGGAAAGACGGATATACATAGAAGATGTTCCATCCAATGGTTCTCTCCCCAAGTGACCACAACGGCTGGAACTGAGCCAATCTGAAGCCAGAGGCTCTTCCGGGTTTCCCACATGGGTGCAAAGTCTCAAGGCTTTCGGCTGCCCTCGACTGCTTTCCCAGGCCACAAGCAGGGAGCTGGATGGGAAGCAGGGCTGCCGGAATTAGAACCAGAGCCCATATGGGATGCCAGCGCTTTCAAGGCGAGAACTTTAACTACTATGCTATCGCGCCAAGTCAGTGAAGGATGGCCCAAACAGGGTGCCTTGTGGGAGATCTAGAAGAGGCTCCTGGCTTTGGATCAGCTCAACTCTGGCCATTGCAGCGACTTGGGGAGTGAGCCAACTGACAGTAGATCTCTGACTCCTCTCTCTGAATTTTTCTTTCTTTTTATTTTATTTATTTTTAAGATTTATTTATTTTTTGGAAAGTCAGATATACAGAGAGGAGGAGAGACAGGAAAATCTTCTGTCCGATGAGTTGCTCTCCAAGTGAGCGCAACGGCCGATGCTATGCCAGTCCGAAGCCAGGATCCAGGAACTTCCTCCAGTTCTCCAACACAGGTGCAGGGTCCCAAAGCTTTGGGCCTTCCTCGACTGCTTTCCCAGGCCACAAACAGGGAGCTGGATGGGAAGTGGAGCAGCCGGGATTAGAACTGGCTCCCATATTGGATCCCGGCGCATTCAAGGCGAGGACTTTAGCTGCTAGGCCACGCTGCCGGGCCCTCTCTGAATTTTTTCAATAAAAAAAGGAAATCTAAAAAAAAAAAAATTGCTTCAGGGATGGCACCATGGCATAGTAGGTTGACCCTTTGCCTATAGTACAGGCTTCTCATGGGTACTGGTTCAAGTACTGGCTGCTGCACTTTTAATCTAGCTTTCTATTCATGTGCCTGGGAAAGCAGCAAAAGATGGCCCAAAGTAGCTGGACACCTGCACCACATGGGAGACTCATAAAAGCTTCAGACCAGCCCAGCCTCAACTGTTGCAGTGTTCCGTCCAGCTGAAATAGTGGATGGAAGCTTGCTTTCTTTGTCTTTCCTTCTCCCTCCTTAAATCTGCATTTCAAATTAAAAAAAATTTTAAAGAAAAAATGCTTTGTCTATGTTATGTTCATGGGCTAGCAGTTATTATGTATGCTGTACTTTACATTTCGTTTTTACCAAATGTTTTTTAGTTTTTATTTTAAAGTTTGAATTTTATGGTACAATTCTATATAGTCTGGAATTCTCCTCCCCAAAATTCCTACCCCCCCAACTGATTTTTCCCATATTGTGACAACAGTGCATTACTTCATAAGGAGTTACAGTTCCATCAGTCTGCTGTGTAAGTGTGCCCTGATGTTGCTGGTCAGACAGTAAGAAAAAAACAAAGGCCCCGTGAAAAAAATGGGCAAAGAAAATGAACAGACATTTTTCACATATCTGTAATATTAGCCTCTTCTCCATCCTGGTTTTTCTCAATTCTTTATAACCTCTCACCTTATTGACTGTTTTCCAAGTCTTGTCTCCTTTCTATGAAGTCTGTGATTCTATGCTTTGTTGAATTTCTTAGCTTTCTCCTGCTTTGTTTGTTTTTTAGTTATCTATTTTATGACAAAAATATTTCTTATCCATTCACTCCCCCAAATGTGACAAACCACATTTTAGTGCGTTACCCGTGACCATCTGCAAGTTATCCTTGCCCTGCGGTTATGTTTAGTACTTGTCTGTACTTGGCTTTCTCTCATTTACCTTTGCATTTCTCCAACATTTCCATTATGATGCTTAAAGGTCAGAAAGGAGTTTAATTATTGTGAAAGAAAATTATTAGATTAATGTCATTTCTCAGAAACATGTCTTCAAGCTTAAAATTAGGAAAAGACGTTTTTCTTCCTCTGCTGTATCATACAATTCTAAATGTACAGACAGTGCCTTTAATATCATTTGCATATCTATACTAGCCTCTCTGCCTGCATCTTCTATTTTCCCTTTCCGGGCCCTTCATACAGTAACGTAGCCATAAGCTTTCTTAGTGTCAAGAAGGTGAAAAAGCAGAAATTAGAAACTTCTGATCTGGGTTGCACTGAGTATTTTACATATTAAAACTTGTAGGCTGCAGTTAAAACAAAATATAGAAAGGGTGTATAAAATATAGTCCAGAGTATATTCATTAGAAAATTGGCCATGGTAATTAGTGAAACTGTATGAAGAATGGAATAACCCAGAGAGTACATAGAAGGAAACGTAACAATGTGAATGAAGCACAGCATGGACACAATTTTAAAGGATCAATTGTAAAAATTTTTCTTTGAAAAGATTTAAAATTCATATTTTCCAGAACCTTCTCAGAGGTTCAGATGTTATGTTCATGATATTTTAACATTTGTGTAAAAGTATTTCCTGTGATATTTTGTATTTTGGATTAGGCTATATAAGCCATCATTTAAAACCATTGATTGTCATCTCTCATTTGAGATTTACAAGTAATAGGGATGCTATATTAGTAATATGTTCAGCAATTGTCAAGCTATTAAGCCTCAATCCTTGCTGTGGTGAAAGAAAGCTTTTGTCAACCTGAGTTGCTTTCATTAGAGAATGTTCACAAATGGACTATTACCTTATGATTTCAAAATGTATATTCAGATTATTTTGTAAGTCTTTTAAAAGAGAATAAGTATTACAAGTAAAATGTAAGTGTACTCCACTAGGTGTGGAATCCTAGCTGTGGAACTTTATTGAAATTTCGTACCAAACTTTTTTTATAGTCTTCACTTCCTTGGAGTCCATCCTCTCAATAATGAATTGTTACATTTTTCTAGTATCAGCCCTTCTTTCAATATCAGAAAAGTGTTGTGATCCATATGTGAAAGCATCTCAAAATATATGAAAAAATGCTTTGTTTTTTCTTGTGTGTATGAAAATACATATGCATGGGTAATATAAATTCCTTGTTTCTTCAGTAATAATTTCTTTTAATGTGATTTAGGCTACCAAGTACTAGCTCCAACTGCCTATTATGATCAGACTGGTGCCTTAGTGGTTGGCCCTGGAGCAAGAACTGGCCTTGGAACTCCAGTTCGATTAATGGCTCCAACACCTGTTTTAATTAGTTCAGCAGCAGCACAAGCTGGTAAGTGTAACTGACATTTCTTGGGATGATAATTCCTGGTGTTGTTGAGATACAACTTTGAAGTAAAAATTTTAGAATAATTTTCTGGGTAATTTTAAGATGTATCCTTAATTTTTTTTCAGCAGCAGCAGCAGCAGCAGCTGGAGGAACTGCCAGTAGTCTTACAGGCAGTACAAATGGTCTGTTTCGGCCAATTGGCACTCAGCCGCCGCCGCAGCAGCAACAACAGCAGCAGCCCAACACCAATCTGCAGTCTAATTCATTTTATGGGAGCACTTCTTTGACTAATAGCTCCCAGAGCAGTTCTTTATTTTCTCATGGACCTGGCCAACCTGGAAGTACATCACTTGGCTTTGGAAGTGGTAACTCTTTGGGTGCTGCTATAGGTTCAGCCCTCAGTGGATTTGGTTCTTCAGGTAAGTTTATTTTTAAGATGAGTATTTTCTGCACAAGAGGACATGTAACACATGTATGTTTTTAATATTAAAATGGGCAATAATAATGTGTTGTATAGAAAGAATAAAATATTCAACTGGTTATATTTTGTAGGAGAAAAAAATATCTTTCAGTCTTAGACATTGACAATGAGTAGCTGATTGCAAGCAGCCCATTCATTCAGATACAGCGCATGTCCTCTTTTCTCCTGGCGTCATGAATTTGTTATTGTGATTGCATTTTAGTAAAGTTTGGTTTGGTATATTGTCTGCTAGTTACTTCCTCTTTATTCTCTACATAATGTTTGAGGAGGTAAATGCCTTACCATGTTGGATTTTGAGTACTTTCAAAGAATAATTTATGTGTTTATCAGATAGTTTACTTGTATCAAATGCTGGTGACTTGTTTGATTTTGTGTACCCAGATATATATATTTATACACACATACACAAACACATTCTTTGCAAAATCCCCTTGGAAATTGCTAGTCTATTTTTCATTATACTTTGTCATTAAATAGACATTTAAAAGATGTTTTTTTTGCAACACAGAACTTTGACACTTGATAAATCAAAAATTATAACAGCTTCACAAAATGAAGTAATTTGTATGTTACTATATCTGTGAATGAGGAAGAACTAAATAATTTATCTTGACTTCATGCTGTCACAGCCTCTGTGCCTGATCTTCAGAAAGTTCATGGGAAATGTGTGCTCTGAAAAAGACAGCATAGGCTATTGTAATTCTGTATTTCTGCAAACTTTTTGAAGTTTCCCTGAATATTCCTTTGAGTTTCCTAGGTTATTCAGCAAAATGTTAGGGTAAAACAGATTAAATCTGTTTGTACAGTTGGCATCCTTCATGAGGGCTAAGCTATTTATTTGAATCTCAAAAATTTTCTCTTTCTATAATGTAATATCCTAGGATTGTTCTTTCCTCATCTGTTCTCCCATCACATCAAATTACATGTGTTTTTTTTTTTATGTGGAAAATGGCAAAATTAACATAATGCCAGTTATTATTAATCATGTTTGCCAGCTCTCTCTAGATTTTTTTTGTGAACTTAGAGCATTCATATAGAAAGGATGGTGTAAAATAGCTTTGAAGTTGTGGGTATAGAACTTTCTTGTCGATGTTATGGTTAAACATAATAAACTATTATCCTTGCCTAACACAGAGTTTTGTGAAAAATGGACCTCAGAGGGAAAACCCAATGAACATGGAGAGTATTCACTCCGTCCTTCAATATTCCTGCTTGATTTATTATTATTATTATTTATTTCAGAGTTGAATGTTTTTGTGTCAGTCTTACTCCTCTAGAATTCATTATTTGTTTCTAATTCCATGGGACATTTTTTCCTAAAGAATTTAAATATTCTCAGGGATATTGAAAGAACAGTATAATGTTAAAAACAAACTTCATGTGAATATGAATACTAAATAAACTATAGGCTGAGGATCTAAGCAGTCCAAGAAATAATAGAATTTTGACAAACTTCACGTTCCCTTTCCTGTCATGTCAGTGATGCAGGTCTGGTATACGCCAGTTCCTTACTCAGTTCATGTTCTAAATTCCCGCTTGTCTTTTGGTTAAAACTGCCTTCTCCCAGCCTTCATACTCTGATTGGCTTAAATGTTTTTATCTTCTGCAAATGTTGGCTACAGATTCCTTTACCCCCGAGAACTGACCTTACAAGCAGTGCTCACTCAGCCCTGATTTCCAGTCAGTTGGCTTGCTTCGTAGGGCGGTAGTGATGGCCATCCCTGAGTACTAGGAGACAGTCATTATCTTCTGTTTCGTCTTGGGCCTTTTGTAATACTTAAGTGCGTTGCACAATATATATTCTTCCAAGTAGTCTATCAATAACTACATACTTATTTAAAATAAAAAACATAATATTGTGTGCACACATAGTTAACTTGCATGGTCAGCCTATGAGTACTTAGCAGTGTTAAATACACCAGTTTATAGTGTAGTTGGCCATGAACTTTAATCATTATAATTTAATATTCTTTCTGTGATTAATTTTAAACATTCTATTACAGCCGAAAGTTGATAATTTCACATCTTAGTACACAATTGATGAGTGAGCAGTTTACTCCATTGTTTAACCTCTTAACTATTTTAGGTACAGTTTGTCTCATATTTTATAGTCCTCATTATAGAAATTTTAGACATATAATAAAACTTTAAAAGCACATTTCTTTATGTTTACAGTTACTTCATAATCGTCTTTAAATGTTTGACTTCCATTTTAGAGGAAAGTAATATTATATTTGTTGAAATGTGTTTGTTCAGTTATTTGCCAAAGAAATAATACAGTTGTACTCACTAGAGAGCTGTTGTCTTTTTCCTTGTCAGTTGATTTTTGAAATAGACATTTAAAATGCACTATGTAATATGAATATATTTTAGAAATATCACTTTGACAGTGTCCTTTTAAATTAGCATAGTTAATGTAGTATTTGTTGATAGTTTTGCCAAAACCAACTCAAAAACCAATTTAGGTTTCTGGTCTGAATGTTAAGTTTAATGTGGTCAACCCATCATATGTTCTGCTTAAGTTTTTTTTTTATGCCCTGTATGACTTGCAATTAGAAAAGCAACGTTTAATAGAAAGTTCCAAAGTCCTTAAGAAAGTCTGTATTGGTCCGAATATAAAGCTTGTCCTTAAAAAAAAATTAATTCTTGACACATTAAGAAGTTTGCTATGAAATTCTGAAGAGGGTGGAATACTTGGAAAATATGGACTCTGAGAGAGATGTGCTGTTGGGAGTTTGGGTAGCCTATACGTGCACACAGTAAAGAATTTGATTATCCAGGTAATGTTCATCAGTAGATTTCTTTGGCTCTTTTGAGTGTGCATCTCACCAAGTAGTATATACATAGTAGTATGTTTCTGGTATTCCTGCATGATTTTTTGGTACAAAAAGGACAAAAGGGTTAGAACGTTGGTAATTGAATGTAGGATTGATAATTTGAGATGTAGTATTAGTGGGCGGAGATGTATTGCAAGTCAGGGGCTCAAGAGGCCAATGTTGGAATCTTAGGGCTACTATAGCCCTGGGAGGTAGTAAGTAAAATCCTCTTTGGTGTAATACCAAAAATGAGAGCTATTAATTTTCTTAGAAAAGTATATTATCTATATTTTATGTGCTTTAGTGGTTAGAAGGGCATATATAGTGTGAAAAATGCTGGGAGTTAGCTGCCATGTATGTTGCATAACTGATATTCGGACCAATAAGGATTTAAAGGACTATATTTTTTAACACAGGTAGCAGCAAATCAAATATGAATGGTGAAGGAAATGTGTTAATATTCTGTTGATTAGTATAATCTTTTCTTGGCATTGAGTTGAAGTCTGAGAACCAGATTCTGGGGATTAGGATACTGCCGAAATTTAACTTTTATTGGAATTTAATCTTTCAAATGGCCTAAAGCAGACAACTGGTATTCCAGGGTTTATAAATCATACCAGGCGATTAAAGCACAGTAATCATATGTGTCAGTGGTAAATATGTGTGAAATAGTGAAACCTACGACTGCTGTGTTAATTATCTTGCCTATTTTATTGGGGGTACATTTATACCCTTTCATGATTAATAAGTTAGTATATAAATATAGTTATCACAGTAATTATCTTCTCTACAGTGTTTCTAAAAATAATTATTGTGATCACTTCTGTTATTTCCCAGCAAGAGTTGGGGATAGGTTTTATTCAGTAACACTGTATGTAATTAGGGTTTTTTTTATTTCTTCTTCAGTTGGCAGTTCTGCAAGTAGTAGTGCCACAAGGAGAGAGTCTCTATCTACTAGCTCTGACTTGTACAAAAGATCTAGTAGCAGCCTAGCACCCATAGGGCAACCATTTTACAATAGTCTGGGATTTTCCTCCTCTCCAAGTCCAATAGGCATGCCTCTGCCAAGCCAAACTCCAGGACACTCACTTACGCCACCGCCATCACTTTCATCACATGGATCCTCATCCAGTTTGCATTTAGGTAAAAAACCAACCAAAACCCTTTTTATTTGTATGTATACATGTATGTGTGTTTGTGTGTGTGTTTATAATATATGTGAAATATTTAATGTTGGATAAAACATGCCAAATTGCTTTTGCTTTTAGATATTAGCCTTTTGAGAAAGTTCTACTTTCCTGAAAATTCAAAATGAGGGTCTAATGTACAGTAAGGTAAAGACCCCCTATTATTGTATCTTGTGTTCTTCATATGAAATACAATGGTGTGTTTTTCTTGTTTGTGCTTTTGAGTTGTGTGTTTTAGAACATCTGAAAATTCAAGTATTTATACGTGATAGTGAAAGGGGAATTTCACTATCCAAAGTTCTGCACACCATAAGAAAATCATTAGCGATACAGCTTGCCAAATTTGATAGTTTAATACGGTGGTTTTTTGTTTTGTTTTGTTTTGTTTGTGATCTTTGAATAGCTGACCAGTTTGCCGAAGTAATATCTGGGGATGTTAATTTTTGTTTGAGTTAGAGAAGCTATGGATTTGATCCATATACTTCTCTTTCTTTTGAGTATGTCAGGAAAGAAAAAAACTAAATTTTTGTTGAATCCCTGAAGTTGAACATACAGAACTTTGTTTAGGCTGTATAGTAAAATTATCCCTGTAGCCAGGATTGTTAAATGGATGGTTAATTTTTTCTCTGTCACTAAGAAGTATTTACCTGTGCAGTTTACTATGTATTTTGCAGCATTGGACATTAGAGAATGTATCTGAATCTCCATCTCATCAAAGAAACTATTTCATTAAAATTGGATTTTTAAGTTTTGTAATTCTAAGTGCTTTGTTTGAAACCGAAATTTGAACAATTTGATTTAAACAATAATTCCTGTTGGAGTGCAGAAACTATCCTTGGCCCTCTCCTTCCCTACCCCTGCAAGAGGGTGTAGCTGTTTGATCCTAAAGCTGGTTCATGGAGTCATGTCCTTGTGCAGGTAGCTGTGGCAGTAGCCTATGTTACTACACAGTGAACAAGATTTCTTAAAAAAAAATCTGATCCTTTACATCAGGTGCTGGGCCATTTTTCTTTGGAGAGTGTGTGCTCTTAGAGGACTTTTGATGTATACAGCCAGTTCATTTATTTTGATGAGATCTTTAGATCTGCTTTTCAACACTTTATAGATTCCTTTATTTATCATCTGTTCTAGTTAGTCACAAGAGCTAGCTAGCTACTCAGTTCCTGAATTTTGTTGCTGCTGAAATATTACTCTCCCCACCCCTAAAAGGCATGCTTTTGAAATGATTATAAATTTGGAAATATAAGAAACCCAAGAATAGGCCTATCCATAATAGTTTCATGTTTTATTGTTAAGCTTATTGTCATGTCCTGTCATCTTTTTATAGGTAAGTTTCAAGTCAGATAACTGTTATACTGTTAATCACTTGTGTTGTGTGCCTTAGAGTCTATAAAATTATCATTACTTGCTGCTCTATTTAGAGTGCTTAGAAAGGAGATGTAAATGACTTCAGATGTCTGGAGTTACAGCAGTCTGGATAATGCGTCCTTCTACTTTCCTTTAGATAGTTTGAGGGTGCTTCACAACGTTTTTGGAAAACAGAATTAAAAGGTGTTAATGTTGAAGCCAAAAATTCTGAAAATATTTCCAGGAACTATAAAACATTCTTGGAAAATCATGCATGAATTTCAAATTATTTTTATACAAAAAATTATCTTTTACTTCTGATTTTCCACAAATCTTTTGAAGTGCCCTTGTATATGGCTAGGGAAGCAATTCTAATCAGGGGAAGTAGTCGCTATTTAGTACAACAGTTCTGGACTACAGCCTGATATTTTTGAGCCCATAAACTCATTTGCCTTCATCTTGGAAATCTAATACTTTCATACATCTCTGATTGGAATTAATAGATAGTTACATTGTTTCTTCATTGATTTCTCTTCCCTTAAATTAACACTGTGACTGGCAACATTAATAATATTCTGCCAGATAAAGAATACACAGAGAAAGTAGGTATTTGATTCAGTGGTTAAAATGCCTCTTGACTCACCATTCCATATTGGAGCTGGGTTCAAGCCTAAGCTTTACTTGTAGTTCATTTTCTGCTCATGTGTATCCTGGGAGGCAGCAGATGATGGCTCAAGAGGGTAGAGGCTTCCGCCCCGTGGTAGATCCATAGTTAATTCTGTGTTTGGCCTAGCCAACTGTTGCTGGTATGAGCATTTACAGAGTGAACCAACAGTTGGAGAAACTATTTCTACCTTTCAAATAAATAAAAATAAATTTGAAACATTCAATAGATTTCAAATTTTGCTCTTGGCAAGCTGTTCATGAAAATAATCTTTCCTGTGTTTGAAGCATGATACAGGCTTCCCACACTTTGATCTAAAAAAATTATGACAAATAAGTTACCTGTGAAAATTAATTTGATGTTCAAATGCAAAAGCAGTTTTATTCACCCTATATGCTAAGAATCTAAAAGCATTAGATAAAAATGAATTTTTACAATTAGGTGCAATTAATTCCTGTCCCTTTTTCTTGTGAGATTCTAAGAAATGAACTTTTCAGCTGTTAATTACCTACAAGCCTTGAGATCTGCATTTTCAAACAGCAGTGAAAGAACCAGTTCTTTGCTTGCTTGTGCTAGGTTTGGGTTTTTTTTGTTTTGTTTTTTTAAGATTCGCAAATAATACCAAGTTAGCAGTATTTTGTGTTGGCTTTCCAAAAAAGACTTTTCATTCTTTGAAGTTGAATACATTTAAGCAATCTAGATATTTTCAGCCAGGTGATTAGTATTCACGTTTTGATTGAAAACCAGCTATTTTAATTTTTATAGTCATTGAAGCCAATTTGTGACCCCAGTTACTTTTCAGATATGCTGAGGTTTGAAGTATGAAATATTTTATTCTTCCATTTCCTACTATATCTAAGAAATTTACTTTTAAAACATAATCCTAGCCCTAGTAATCATCATCTAGGATCATTTTCTTGACTTACGTGCAATATTTTAGTTTTTTTCTTAAATCATGATCCAGTTCATATGTTGCATTTAATAATGTGTTTAGACTTTTTTCCTTTTTTTCTTTACATTCACTTATTGAAGAAACTTTTATTCTGCTTAATTTCCCACATTCATTTTACTGATTGCTTTCCTGTGATGCTGCATAACACATTCCTATATCTCTTTACTAAAAGCTGGAACTAAATAAAAAGGCTTGGTGGTGGATGGGTAGGTTGATTTAGTTTGGCAAGTGTTGTGGTCCTGTCTGCTTTCTGTTGAACTGGATCAAGAGACATGTTTGGGTGTCTCCTATGTGAGACTATCAGGTTTTCCAGCTACTGATATACTGCTGGGTGCCATCTTTTTTAATTTTTAAGATTGTTTTCTTGTTATTTGAAAGGCACATTTACAAAAAGGAGAGATGGGGCATTAGGTCTTCCAAACACTGGTTCACTTCCCAGACGGCCTCAGTGGCCATTTGGTGCACTGATCCAAAGCCAGGAGCCTCTTCCAGGTCTCCCATATGGATGTAGGATACTAAGGCTCTGGGCCGACCTCTGCTGTTTTCCCAAGCCATCAACAGGAAGCTGGATGGGAACTGGTGCAGCTGGGACACAAACTGGTGCCCACGTGGGATGCTGGCACCAAAGACAGGAAAATTAGCCTACTGAAGGCTAACCCTGTGTAAGCCGTCTTTCATTATGCCTAACTATTTCTTTAGAGGTTGCAGAATGGTGATTCTATAATGTTATTCTGGACATTTTTGATAAAGAAAATTTTCTCTGTCATTTGATAAATTTCCCCATAAAACATTTCATAGAGCATTCTAGATAATGATTGATTCCTTTCCTTTATTTCCTAGTGTTCTCAGTAAGGAATTGAGTTGAGATGTCCCCCAGCAACCTCTTGAAATGACTGATGGGTTTGCACCTTCATCAGTGTCTGTATACTAATAGATTTGCAGAGTATTTGCTATATTGTAGTTCATTGAATCTGAAATTATCAATTTCGTGCCTATTTTTGGTTATATAATTGTTCCACATTTGCCCTTTGGCATTTTTGCAGATTGGCTCCCGTTTAAGTTACACCCTTTTAAAAGTAGCCCTCAAGGGCCAGCGCAGTAGCTTAATGGCTGACGTCTTCACCTTGCATGTCCCGGGATCCCATACAAGTGCCAGTTCATATCCCAACTACTCCACTTCCCTTTCAGCTCCCCGCTTGTTTGTGGCCTGGGAAAACACTAGAGGACAGCCCAAGGTCTTGGAACCCTGCAACTGTGTGGGAAACCTGAAAGAAACTCCTGGCTCATGGTTCTGATTGACTCAGTTCCACCTGTTGCAGTATTTGAGGAGTGAACCAGCAGATGGAAGATCTTTTTCCTGTCTCTCCTTCTTCTCTTTGTAAATCTGACTTTCCAATAAAAATAAATAAATCTTTTTAAAAAAGAGAGAAAGAAAGTAGCACTAAAGTTACTGGAGGTAGGAGCTGGCACCATGTCATAGCTAGATAAGCCTCTGTCCACTATGCTGGCATCCCATATGTATACTTGTTCAAATCCAGGCCATTCCTCGTCAGTCAAACTCACTGCAAATGTACTTGAGAAAACAGCATAAGATTGCTCAAGTCTTTGGATTCCTGCATCCATGCGGGAGACCCTAACCATTCTAGCCATTTGGTCTGTCTGTCTGTAAGTAAATCTGTCTCTTAAATAAAGTAAATCTTTTTGTTTTTGTTGGAAAGGCAGATCAGATTTACAGAGAGGAGAGACAGAAAGATCTTCTATCCACTGGTTCATTCTCACAGTAGCCACAAGACCAGAGCTGACCCGATCCAGAGCCAGGAGCCAGGAGCTTCTTCTAGGTCTCCCCTGCTGGGACAGGGTCCCAAGACCTTGGGCCATCTTCTGCTGCTTTTCCAGGCCACAAGCAGGGAGCTGGAAGTAGAGCAGCCAAGATACAAACTGGCACCCATTTGGGATCCCGGTACTTGGAACGTGAGGGTTTAACCATTGAGCT